AAGATCTTTTGATGTCTCAGTCAATTTCCTCAAGAGAAAATTGATCTTATTCTTGAACACTTGAATTCATGCAATACTGGCAGTTAATGCTTACTAAAGTCGGCGAGAGAACAAAGATAACTATTTGATTAGTCTTTAGTTCTTTCCATGCACATGACATTTTACAGCTGCGAGTTTAAATAAATAAATAAATTAAAAAAAATTAATAATAAAATTGTAATTAACGCTCAGTCACCTTAGTTTTCAAAGATTAGGGTAAATATGTGAACTTTGAAATGAGGAATAGAAATGAGGAAAGCGCAAATATGGATTCCATTCATCATTTTTGTGCGTAGTGGAGGACTTCGATGCACCACAGCGCTTCTAACTACATTTCATTCACTATCCACTAGTTGCGCCCTTAGCTTACAGGCCTACTATCATCCCTTTATCTTTGTCTATACTGTTGCTAAGTGTTCCTTATAGGTCGTCCGGCATATTCTACTTTTAACATGGATAAAATAACAAAGGCCAACATCATAATGCCGTAATAGCCGTAAGCTTTGCTTCTCTATTTCTCTTTATTTCTCTCTCTTTATTTAAGGTGTACAAAAGAAGACCAGATCTTGAGGTTGGTTCCCGTCACCTACATGGAATTGCAGACAAGAAAAAATTTAGTAACTCTTTCTTTTGTATTTGGTTATCTGACGAGCGTTCGATCGCGTATGATAGCCAGGCTTACTATAAAGAATAGAAATGCTTCTGTCGTTAACTTATTTCCTCTTACTGTATCGTTTGTCCTCTGATCCTTACTCTGATCTTGTGAACCAGTACAATGAAATCATGACCTATCTGCCCACAAACCGGACTTGTTTGCACCGATGGGATAAGCAATTGCTGAGCAACGGCTTCGCTTCTTATGAAAACATATGAAAATGGCTGGATGACTCAAAAGAGTTTGACGTCACGTTCACAAATTTTTAGAGAGATAAGATGCAAAGAAAAGAGCAAAGAGAAATATATAGGGTTGCAGTGAGGCGCAGCATAACAGTAACATTTCCATATATGTACACCAAGAAAACTTTCACAAAAAAAAAACCTACACCTGCCCAACCGGGAAATGTTATGCCTTTACTCACTGAGCATTCATTGCAGCTACAACCAAAGTGCCCCCTATGGCACTTGAGACTTGAGTCCGCCACCACTGACTTGATAGTCGCGATTTGCACTTATCCTTCCGGCCGTCTGATGAGGTCTGTTGTCTAGATCCGGATAAAATTAATGTACTCTATACCACATATAGTGTAAGGCATAAAAAGACAGGGCTATGTATCATGTCGCCTCTCAAAAAACATTCCGTAGAATAGAAAGAAGGCAATCTACCTCGGTATAAAAAGAGCTTTAACATATCACAACTACATTATATTACACATCAACCCTTCGCACTTATGCATTTTCATTTGTCTTATTATCATCTCATTTCTGCTTGCAATAAACAACGAAACGTACGTTGCCTTAAAAATGCCTTCCTTTGCTTTACGGATGTAAGCATAATGTGTTTTTAGAGTGATAAAAGAAAGGATATAACCAAGTTTTTTTTAAAAAGGGTGTAAAAAAGTTGACTTTTAATGTTAATCAATTCGAAATTTTAAATCGAATCTGAACTGAAGTTTAGTGCTACAAATTTTTATCATTTGCTCAAAAATACCCAGGAGCCATCAACCAAAGTTTAATAGCCTAAATAAGCTGACATAACTTCAAGGAGTCTGCAGGTCTATGTTAAAGTTAACGTCATGCTGCGGTATGGCACTAAGAACAGATAGCGCGCCATTTTTCTCTCTAGCTCTCTTCGAATATTTGGCAAAATTTTTTCATATAACGACTTTTTCGAATCCGATCGAACAGTCCATTTTTAACAGGGTCAGCTCTTTAGCTTAAATATTTCAACTTAACACAATTTTTCGAAAAATATTTCAAAAATTCCTATAGCAAGTTGAATATAAACTTAGATGGACAAAGTTTGGACGGGCAGACGCAGCAGTGGCCTTTACCACCGCTCCATATGTTTCCACTTTCAAGTCCAACGTCTTATTCCCCTCTTTCCTCTCTTCCTACCCGAAATCGTTCCTGACCGTCACCGTGTCCACACATATAGAAGACATTCAAGCAAGGGTTTGGGATCTGAAACAGAAGGGGATTTTTTTTTTTTTTTCCTCAACTCCATAACATAGGCAATAATTGTTCTTCTATTCGTTTTTCATAAGCATCCCCGACCATAAGTATTGCATATTAAATGTCTTTCTATTAAATATACCAAAAAAAAAATGATTTTACTATATGTATATTTTTTTTTTTTTGATTGTAACGCCCGCGTACAATTTTTGCGAAGACATTCCGTCGGTGTGATCACATTTAAAGACGTCGGCTTATATCGATTCCGAAAATCATTATAAGCCGATTGGTATACTGAAGATGAGTCAGGCTCAGGTGGAGTGCTGTTAGTCTTTATAAAGGAACCTATAGTACAATTGGTTTTAATGGATTTAAGAAGAATCTTTTAAAAGTCGAACTTTGAACAACAGTTTCAATATTGCCTTAATTGGATCAGCTCGCTTCGAATGTACCAAATCATCGATCCGAAACTTCCTTCCAAAAAAAGGACTGGCTTAAGAATTCATTCTATGATTTTATTGTAATAATAAGCAACATAGTAAAAAGATTTAAAATAATTTTTATATTTTTAATTTATCACATAAAACCTAAAAGGAATATTTATCAAACTGGAAAGCTATATGTTTAGGAAAAAAGTTTGCAAAAAGCTGTGCAAAATTTATTACAACCATGTTTAAAAAAAAAACCAATATTTTCATAAAGCTTTTTTTAAGTGAGCTTGTTCCTGTAAAGCTTGTGCCGTGCATAGTTGTTGTTGCAAATTCTAATTTTTGTTTACATTTGCCATGCACGTGCTATTGTTTATAAAAAAGTAAATTTTACGCTCAGAAATTGAATTTCATATTCTCAGCATTTTTTCAGAGCATTCATAAGAAATGTACGGCAAAGTAAATTTTATTCTCAGAAGTTGAATTTCATATTCTCAGCATTTTTTTCACGGCATCCTTAAGATATGTACGGCAAAGTAAATTTTACTCTCAGAAGTTGAATTTCATATTCTCAGCATTTTCTCAGGGCATGCTTAAGATATGTACGGCAAAGTAAATTTTATGCTCAGAAATTCAATTTCATATTCTCAGCATTTTTTTCAGGGCATCCTTAAGATATGTACGGCAAAGTAAATTTTATGCTCAGAAATTCAATTTCATATTCTCAGCATTTTCTCAGGGCATCCTTAAGATATGTACGGCAAAGTAAATTCTACGCTCAGAAGTTGAATTTCATATTCTCAGCATTTTTTCAAGGCATCCTTAAGATATGTACGGCAAAGTAAATTCTACGCTCAGAAGTTGAATTTCATATTCTCAGCATTTTCTCAGGGCTTCATTAAGATATGTACGGCAAAGTAAATTTTACTCTCAGAAATTGAATTTCATATTCTCAGCATGTTTTGTCTCTTAAAATTTCCTGTGGTTTGTATTGTAAATTTGATATCATATGTAATTGTTGCTACTTGATGCATTTATTATAATTTTCATATATATAACAACTGTTGATTTCGAGTATTATTTATTATTGTTGTCATCAATATTATTATTCTTATTATTATTATTATTATTACTATTACTAATCTTTAATATCGTTACTATCGAAAATATAATAGATTCGCTCCTGTTTTTTTTCTTGGGTTGTTAAGCGGAGATGAACTAAAGTAATAAATTAAATCCGCTTTTTAAATATAAATTAAATTAAATTATGTTTACAAGAGGGAATTTCGTCCTTATGACGTGAAATTTCTTTTGCAAAACAAGACTAAATGAAGAGATAATAAGAATCTCATATTTATTTATTTTATAAGCTAAAAAAACTTTGAACAATGTGTTCAACCCGAAGACCAAATCGGATATTACCGCAGATAATGGAAGTAGTTTTGACGAATTGCAAAAAGATTTTATCCCTTTGTTGATTTTGATAAAGTAAGCGAAATGTCAAAGACAAAAGCGACTAGTGCGAGAGTTCGAGTTTCAATGTAAAACGAAATATTACATGCACGAAAAAAATAGCCAAAGCAAAGATTAGGTAGGAAATACAACTTGTTTTAGTTTAATCGCTTATATGAACTCGTATTGAAGATTTCAGCGGATGCTGTAACAAATTTCAAATATGTGGAATAACTATCACATCTCATATCCTGTCATCTACAGAACGCAATACCAATGTAATATAATATATTATTATTTATTAAAACTATTAAACTATGTAATTGACTTGTTTAAAAAAGAACAAATAGCTCACGTTACTAGTAGACAGTTATTTGTACCTGACGCCACTCGTAGTACAAAAATATGTTAAATTTGTGCGTGTACCCTGAACAAGGGTAATAAATTCTAACCTAAAAATATTATCTAAAAATCATGTTTTTTCTTTCGGTAACAATAAGACCGATAAGACAGATGTAACAAACGTATGAACGGTGCCGACTCTGTGAGTTTTTCATGACGTTGTGTTTGAGAAATACGCATCACCGTTGTGTCTTTTTTACAGAGACCAGCTTCATATGAGTTTTCCTTTTTGAAAAATTTTTAACAAATCGCGAAAATCCTTTTGCGTCAAATCGTTGCTTGTAGGTGTATGTGCGGTAATGGACAAAAGGAAAAGGAATGAGAGTTTACTCTGAGTAAATTTTCTTTTGACTTTAAACAATTACACAAATGCTTATTAAATAATTTCGTTTCATTTTTTATTGTTTATTTTTATTGCGTTTTGTTTTATCGTTTCCTTTTTTTTTTTTTTTTATTTTCAATTGTCCATTCGTATTATTGTAAGGAGGAAAACGCCTTTTTATATCGATCGGTATGTGTGTACACAATCTAAGTGATGCGCATGCATGTTTTACAAAATTTTTTGGCAAAAAAAGACGAAATCTTTTCAATTCAGCACCGTCGACCATACATATATTTACATACACACACATCTAACTAGTTCCTGTAATAAATCAGTCACTTGAACGGTTGTAGACTTAAGGCGAAAAATTTATGAAAAAATTACAAGATATTTATCGAAGGATTAAATTAAATTGATTCAACAATAGTTCAACTGGACAGGAGATAGGCTATCAAGTTCGATAATAACGAAATGAAACGTATAATGATATCTCGTGTTTGTGTAACTTGTGTGATTTATTTGTTAATGGCTGCTGTTGTCGTACAATGCGACGAAAAGAATATTAATAAACTACTCAACAATCAGGTCATTGTTAGTCGTCAAATAATGTGTGTTCTAGAAAAAAGTCCTTGTGATCAATTGGGACGACAGCTAAAAGGTAAACGCATTCATTTAGTTCTGAGTAAATGAATTTTTAATTTCTTCTTTTCTTTTTATTATAATTTATTTATTTTTATTTAAAACTCCCTATCTTCTTATTTTAGCTGCTTTACCTGAGGTTATCGTACGCAATTGCCGTAATTGTTCACCACAGCAGGCTCAAAATGCACAAAAATTAACAACATTCCTGCAAACTAAATATCCTGATGTTTGGGCGATGCTCCTAAGAAAGTACAAAACTTAAACTATATATTAAAATACGTCTCCTCAACGTCTCGTATGAGAAATTTTTCAGGTTACATCTCGTCAAAATATTTTAAGAAAAAATTTATTAAACGTAACAAACATAATTATTATCTTTAATGCAATAACTCTGAATAAGTTATTTTTTTAAAAAAATGTGCACCATAAAGAAAATTTTTGAAAATTTCTCAATTTTCGATTTCTCAAACTTTTGTTTTTTTTTCTTTCTTTAGCGTTTAATACAATTCGCTAATTAAATACTTTAAAATTACTTACGATTAATAATAAAAAGAAAAAAAAAATTATTCTTATGTGTGTGATTAGTGTATTGCATTGCAATTAGCTTTTACCTTAAGACTTAATAAAATCGAAATATATCTATGTATATACATATACATATATGTATGTAAATAAACGATAATAAGAAAAAAAAAAAAAAATTATTTTAAATAAATTAATTCCGATTCTATATAAAACATCTTTGCACCACTTTTCTCTCTAAATTTCTTACTTCTCTTTACATTCTTTTACAAGATCAACTTTAGCACTATGACTACCGGATCCTATTGCTAATAGCATCTTCTATTCTTCCTTAATTGGATGCTAAGCAAAGCAATTGTACTCTTAATCGTTTTCATTGATTTGGCTCCAAATATATAGTTGTTCTATGTAGTGAGGAGAGTCACTTACTGAATGAAATTGTAACCGTTACAACAAGTCAAAACCACGGCGCAATATTTTCCAAGGCGTCTGTAACATTGGCTTAGTACATTTATCCAGAAGAAGTTCTGCTTTAAAGTCCAAAAAAAAAAAAAACATATTACTCTCGTGCCAACAAGTACACACCTAGCCCGCACACTACAGGGGACCACGAACTATCATTAAAGAACCTATACCTCCCTACAGTTATTCGTACAACGACTTTCCAAAATGAGAAAGCGGTGAAAAAAATTGTCCGATCCAAATCATTCTCCCAATAGCGTTCGCCCTTGAACCAAAACATTTCGGTGTACCAAACTTCATCAAAATATCTCAAACCTTATAGGTTGAGCATAACAATACAAAATGGGCAGATAGATAGACGGGCTAGCGTTCAAAAGATTGATTCATAATCGCTTTCTGCATCACTCTCTGAATCAAGCGGTATGATAAAAGATGTTCCTGTCTCAGCTCTCTCTGGGTGTTGCATACATCCGCACAAAATTCACCTTCACACGCGAGTGGTGTAAGATGTAAAAACTATTTGTAATGTTCCATGAATAATTTTATTCAAAATCAATTTTTAACGACTGCCACCTGTTTAAAGTTCAAGTCCTTCCTTAAAATATGAAATATACGTTCTGTTAAGAGATCGTCTTGGCATTCGGCGTATAAAACGAAGCATTTGCAAGCCTAGTACATAGCGTGCATACTACAAGCGTACGATTTAAACTTGCAATGCTTACTCGCGAACAGGTGAAAAAGAAAAAGTTAGAGAAACAATCGAAATAAATACTCATATGCAACTAACCAGCGAGCCATAGCATCGAAGAATTCATTTAATAACTAAAACATAGTCCTGATACAGAAAGACGAAAATTATCTGTTTCAAAAATTGAGACTGACCCACCTCCTTCTGCCTACTGATACCATAAATTATACAGTAAAAATTATTCTCCAAAAATTGCTTCAAAACTGATCATTTTTTTCAAACTACCTAATATTAATTACCGTTAAAATCAGTAAATTAACTTTATTTAACAATGGCAACTCTATTCAAAAGAAACTCTCTCACTTTCTCTTTCACTTTTCCATCAATTTTCAGGAACATATGTTTTATACGATTATTGTTCAATTTCGTAAAATTGAAATTGAAACAACTCAAGAAAAGAAATAATAATAATAATAGTAATGACAGACTCTTTTAAAATGTTGAAATAGTAAAGAAACAATAGAAATTAGCATTAAGTTAATAAATTTGTAGAAATTCTTAGCGTTTACATTATAGTGTTGTTAGCTTCAAATGGTATGCCGGATAAGGTATAAAAAATCGGTGACTATTCTTTTGCATTGACTTTGGCACAGAAATCCTTCAAATTGTTGTTGCTTTGGCCTTCATCGAAGTCTTAGTAGAGGAATCAAAGAAAACACACACTATGAAATTAGACGATATTGTGTCTTGGCAAGTGATAAGAGACAAAAAAAAGGAAATCTAAAGTGAATGAAATTATTTTTTAAGGTATCAGAAAAAGATTGGGACCTATGATAAGGAACCATGGGAGAAAACCGTTGAAGAGAAAATACTTGATGGCTTTAGCAGTGTGACATTAAAAACGGCAAAATTAAAAACTGAACTAATCGATGTGGATTTAGTTAGAGGTATGTGTTTTTTTCATTTATAAAAACAATAACAAAAATAAATAAATTTCATTTTATATTAAAAAAAAGGTTCTACGTTCCCGAAAGCAAAACCTAAACAATCTCTATTAACTGTGATATATTTGGCTATATTACGTTACCTGTTTCTACCTTTATATGCTCAGTGGTGGGTACGTCAAACCTCGCCCAATACCTTTGCTTTATTTCTCTTTCTCTACATAACGCAAATGATTAATTGGGCTGTCTATACGTTCAATGTGAACCGTTTGGACCAATATTCTTCAGTGCCATCTTCAACAACACCAACGACGACGACTACAACTGCAGCAAATAATTATAGTAAATTATTTTTGAAACATGCATCATCATCTACTGAAGCAAATACACACACTACGGAAGTGAGTAAGAAATGTCTTTAGTTTGTTTGCTTACAAACAAATATTGTTATAGTAAGGGAAGGGCTACAGGCTGAAGCAATCACAGTAGTTCGAAGTATGCACAAATAGCCTATAAAGTGTGCACACGCCAACACAGACTGCTATCAATGAAGATTCCCATCTCCAGTTCGCATAACAAAAAACACAAAAATCAAGCACACATTGTGCGTATTTGTGTGTCCAAATAATCGTGTTCGTCCGTTCATCGTCCGCTGATATATTAATAGAGAAATCTGACGAGGGCAAAAACAATTGTGCATTATCTAAACGCCAATACATACAGAAGTTCTTAAATAGTGTCTGTAACTTGCGACTTATAGCAAATGTCGACCGGCTAACAGACATCCACACAATTAATAATTAAGATTCCCCCGAAAATGAATATAACTCGACTAGTTGCCCACTTTTCTTATCCATTTATAAATAACGTTTTTTTTTTTAAGCATATTGTGTCCATATCGGAACTCTTAATACCGATGGCTTTAAGTTTTTTACTGAGTTTAATTCACTCACAAATAGTGGCAACCAACATAGCCCAAAGCGGCTCTAAATGTTCAAAACGGCGCCGTTTTTCAAATGCAAGTCAAAATGGTCGCACGTCCAAAGACGTGGGCTTACGACGGCGTAAAAAATTAGTAAAGTAAGCACCATAAAATAAAGGTAATATCAGCAAGAAAACATTATTAAATAAAAGCTAATCCTAAAGATTACGTAGTCAAGACGTAGGAGATAATCTGCCTTCTCAATTATCTAATCAACGGAAGACCTTACCGGGTAAAAAGTACTGCAGTGATGTGAAAAACACTCATCTATCACAGCCTAATCTTAGACAAAAGGAAAATGTATCCTCAATAATAAGACACAACTCTTGTACTCCTGCACAACCAACGCCTTCTACGACACAAAATGTGACAAAGCACCTTCAATTAGATCTCACTCACAATAACAATGGAGACGATACGGAATGTCAGCTGAGGAGAGTAAATTGGCGTTCACCCATACATAAATGTGCGAGCATAAATAGCATTACAATTGACACGCAAGAAAAGCAGCAACAAACTTCACCGCAATCCATTTCCACCACAAGTAGTATGGGTGAAAACGCAAGCGTTTCATCGAGCAGTAATTCTTCACCTTCGAAAGCAATGCATATTGATTTATGTGTACAGGAATTTTACGATGATCTTATCGATCGGACAACTAACAATGATCACGTTGACAACATAAACGCAGCAGAAAATCGTAATCGCGTGAATGCAGGCACTCAAAGACGCGGTGCCATAGGTGAAGACGATGGTTTCGAAAGTTTAAACGGTAAAAGCTCAAGTGGTGAAGAAACTAACAATGCGCCAAATTCAAATTTAAATCAAACTAATTTGCACTCTCAAAAAGTTGAGGAAGTGAATGAGGTATAAACACCCGTGTTGGAATAATTCTTTGGTCTTTTCCTAATGTATATATTGCAGAATTCCTCAGGTTCATTCTATCGCCGGAAAGTCTATCATGTTCCCGGATCATTGAAATTGACGCGTTCTCAAGAGGTAGGAGATTTCTCACATCTTTTGGATTTTGGTCTGGATATTCAATATATTATCCAATAACTACATGCAGGTTAGCAGTGAGGAAACTGAAGAAGAAGGTGACGAGGGTGACCTAATATCGAGCCCAGCCACACCTGCTAATACCACTTATAATGAATGCACTACATCGGCTACCGAATGGCTGGGTATAACAACAAATAGTAAGTTTAGTTTTTTTTTTTTTTGTGCCATCTACCACTGGAATTAATTAGTTTATCAGATATTAATAGCCATTAAAAAGCACGCATCGGATGCTATTTACATTTTCATATATATTAAGTACCTCCTTATGCATAGTAGTCTGGTCATATGGATTATTTTTTACATTTTGTCGACCTGTTATCATATATCGCGCTATTTTGAAAACTTATTATATGAACAGCTGTGTGAAGCGAGATGGTGCAAATAATTTAATGGTAATTCGCGGTCCACTATAATATTTTTACTTGTGTTAATATCTACACCGGTTGCGGAACGGGGTATATTAAGTTAGTGCTGGTGTACGTAGCACGCAGGGGGGCTTAAGGCAGAACCACTTTTTATAATAGTGATCGATTCAGAACCATAATCTAAATTGATCCAAGCCTATCGGTCCGTCTGATGTCTGTCCATGTCAATTTATGTCCAATCTACTCGTCGCAATTCTTGAGATATTTTAATGAACATTGATACACCGATACTATTTTGGTCCAAAGAGGAACGCTATTGAAAATGGTTCGGTTCGATCCACTTTTTCGACCACTTCTCTTATAACCTATCCTCAAAAATCGTCATGTGGGAAAAAATCCAATTTTCAAAACTTTTCGGTAAAAGTGGTTGGGTAGTAGTCGGCATTCTAAATTGGAATGAAAACTTTGCACCGGTTGGGTCAATTTTTGAACTCCCTCTCACGAAAAATTGAATTTATACGGCAAAAAGGTATAATTTTCAATGCTTCATGAGGAAAATTATATCATAATAGTAATTTAACATAAAAAAATTAACTGTACTAAATTTGGACTATCTCGGCCTATTTTTTGGATCCTACTCTAATAAGGATTTTCATGAGAATTGTTCCTTTGTAGAATAGAAAACTATATATAAATAGAAATATTATAGTAATTTCATACAAAACTGATCACTACAAAATTTGAACCATTTACGTATATTTTTGGATTTTGCCGTATGTAAGGATTAAACTGTTCGGTCTTGGCTCGACTATAATGTTCCTACCTGTTCTTTATTTATTTGAATTTTGAAATCTAAAGTTATACCATTTAATCATTTATCATTCATTATATAGGTGAAGAATGTAGCTACAGTTCAGATTTGGATAATTCGGATAATTACAAAGGCAACTCAGATGATTATGGTTGTGATTTAGATTTTACACCAGCCACAATATTAAATCTTCATGGTGCAAGTGATCGAAGTACGTAAAAAAAAAAAAAAAAAAAATAGTAATCTTTTAATTTATTCGAATATATATATATATAATTATTTAGTCAGTTGCACTATTTGGGATCAACATGACATCAAGAAAGCTCAAATGTCAGTTTTAGAGATATCATCATGCATTATAGACAACGTGGAATCAATGACCGAGACAAATGATTATGTTTACATAGGAATATTCTTTTCGATATTGCTTTCATTGATACCGTGTTTTTGCCGATTGTGTGAGGTGAGTTGAAGACAAACAAGCAAAAGAATTAATTCGCACATCATATAATGTCAAAGCATAATGAAAGCATATAAAACTAGAGATGGAACAAATTCTCGGATATATAATATAGGAAAGAAATTTTAATGTGCATTTCTCTCTTTCTCTTCTTCTTTAATAGCAGATGCGGATAATAATTAAAAAAAATAAAAAATCAAGACCTAATTAACAAATTGATACACGAAAACATTATTTGTTTAACTTTGCTTATGCATTTTTTATGAATCTGGTTAAAATTTTAGGTTACCTTTGATAACGATAAGTCTGATGAGATTAATTATTTTGATATTCCGATGTTGTTGTGGGAGAAAGCTTCATTTTCATTCATCGCGATTTTTCGATTCGCTTTTGGACAAACTCAATGGGAACGTTTAGTATTAGTTTTAGGCTTTTTACAACGTCTCTGTTTAACATTGATATTGTTCATGATCTTCGCTGTGGCAGAAAGAACATTTAAGCAAAGGTTCGTTGATGTATATCATTCTCTTTTAAAAAAAAAAAAAAAAAAGTTTAAATATTTAATCAACAGGTTTCTATACGCTAAGTTATTCTCACATCTGACGTCGTCACGTCGAGCACGCAAATCAAATTTGCCTCATTTCCGTTTGAATAAAGTGCGTAGCATTAAAACCTGGCTCAGCGTGCGGTCCTACTTAAAGGTTTGTTTGTCGCTAGTATCACCCACAATATAAGTACATTTTTAATTAATCTCTTCTATATATTCTATATTCGATAGAAACGAGGTCCACAGCGCTCGGTGGATGTCATTGTCTCAGCTGCTTTTATGCTCACTTTATTCCTCTTGGGTTTTCTCAGCGTTGAATGGTTGAAAGATTCTGTGCAATTGCATTCTCATTTAAATCTAGAAGCGTTATTATGGTCTACTGCAATAGGAGTTTATGTTTTACGTTATATGACGTTAGGCAATAAGACACATCATAAGTATCGCAGCGTTTCCGTTTTAATAACGGAACAAATTAATTTATATCTACAGGTATTTGAGAATCATTATTATGTTTTTACTCCTTATAGCAATTTATTCTTATTTGTTTGTTTCCAGATTGAAAAGAAACCGAAAAAGAAAGATGAGCTTATGGTAGCCAATAGCGTTCTTAAGTTGGCCGCAGATTTATTAAAAGAATTGGAAACACCTTTCAAAATATCTGGCTTAAGTGCTAATCCATATCTTTTCACAACCATTAAAGTGGTAATATTATCGGCTTTGTCAGGTGTACTAAGCGAAATGTTAGGATTTAAGTTAAAATTACACAAAATCAAAATTAAATAGTGTATGTCTTAGCATTCATTAAATGATTGCATGGCATCACGACATTCTTTAAATCTTTATCTTACATATTTATTGAACAAATCAAATTAGTCATTGATTCCTTAACAAAAGAAAAAAAGAAAAATTTATTAACTTAAATAACAAATAAAAACAATAGAAATCACTACACACACTAATGCAGCAGATTTTCCGTTAAAGTTTTACTTCATTGAAGTCGCGTGAATTTTTCTAAAAACGCCAGATTCAATTTATGCTGAAGCCATTACATAACTTAACTTTTGCTCCAACTAGATAAATAAGTTGGCAAAGGGCTAACTGAAGCAGTTAATACCATTCCACCTACATGTAGTTATAGTATAAAATAGAATTTTATTAAATAAAAACCTGTTTACGATTACTTGGAACAATGACAAGATTGGAATTTAACACAGAAACATAGAAAACTCGTAGTTGGAGTATTCTCAAAATAATAATAGTGAGATAATAGTGCGTTTAATACAAATATTTCTTATGTAGTTAAAAAGGAATTATTTTCTTCAGTTATACTAAACCTAAAGGTTAATTAATTCTTACACCCGTCACGGCGGAATACGTAGTTCTCAACGAAACCTGTTATTCTGACAAAGCTCGTTGCAGGCAGACGATTTAAGTGTGTCGACAACGTCGTGGGAATCGTGTTGTGATGGCCCGTCTTGCCGTGGACGGTTGCCAAAAAGATTATATCTGCTTTGACTTAGCGCCCGTCACCATAATGTTATACGCTACCATAAAGCAAATTTATTCAGATGCAGTGTAAAAGTTTTTTTTTAGCTCCAATTACGTTACCAAGACCAGCTGAAACTATGAGGACACTTGTTAAACGAAATATAGAATTCACTATACTTAAAATTAACACTTAGCATATTATAGTGTGACCTAGTGAAGAAGAGTTAATTTCAAGTTGAATTTTTTCCTTTACAATTTTTTGTTTCTTTAATTAAAATTTTTAAAACATTTGAGTAATTGTGCGAATTTGTTTATAAAAATAAGGATAACCGTCTAAAAAGTGGCAATCAATGGATATATCTTAGCTTTCAATAAATTTCCGTAAGTTATGTTTGAACTGATAATGAATGGTAGGTTTCTTGTTCTTCTTATGTCGTCGTGTAGGTTTCTTATTCATCATTCTCCATAGATAGTACTTTTTTTAAAAACGGCATAAAAGAAAAACGTATCTAACGGATTTTAACGAGTAATCAAAACCGTTTTACAAGTGCAAAAAGAAGTTTGACAAAGTGAAAAATTGCGAAAAAAAATTTTAAAAAAATAATTGAAAAGTTTAAAAATTAGAAAAAGAACGAGAAAAATTTATATAAAATTAAATAAAAAAAAAAAACTAAAAAAATTATAAAATTATAAGAAATATTTTGTGTATTAGAAAAGTTTAAAGAAAAAAAGTTCATTAGAATATACAACATTTAATAAGTTAAATAAGTGTATAGAATTTGATAATAAAAGTTGAATAAACATAAATAATTCAAACAAATAAAAGTTTATAGAATAAGTATAAAAAAGTTTGCATTCAAGTCAAAAGCATTGACGGTAAGTGCATTACCTATTATTTGCAATTTCATATATTTCATTTTTTGCCAAGGAGACCCGTTTGAGATTCAGATAGTTTCCCCTGGGAATCTCGTTGGTGTCTCCTTATGAAATAGCCTTTCGAGAATAGAATCAATAAGTTGAAGTTATATTCATATTGGCGGCATACAACAACATGGCGCCATATTATTGATGTTATATATTTTCTATGTTTTTTACTTTGTTTTTGTTAAGACCGAAGCTCTTTCTATTTCAATTTTTAAGTTCCCGTCCGATATTAACTACTTCGTTATTTTGTCCGTTGCGTGAAGCAGCCCTAACTTTAGCGCCTATCACAATAATGCGCATAATGGCGTTCGTGCTGTGTCCTTTGATTCGTCCAAATGTTCAAGGCCATTTTTACTAGACTTTACTTTGCGCTGGACATCTCTTGTGTTAACAAGATTTCCTATTTTATTGGTAAGGCTAGCAGCTAACTTACTAAAATACGAGCGTTATATTCAGGTTAGATCACTTGTTCAACTATTTCTCATATACACTTCTCTACAACACTGTATTAAGTTTATTTATTGCATTTTCAATTAGATTTATAATTTTTAACATAATAAATTTACTATACCTTTAACCAAACTATATCTAAATCAAAAAAAAATCGTCGTAAACGTATGGCAGTATCGCATTAAAAATTTAGCAATGCATCAAAATAAAACGACATACACTGAAAAACTACTATGGACGAAATGGAGGAAATGGAGAAAAATTAAGGTCTCCTAGGCAAAAAATTATATATATTTAATTAGAAAATTCACTTACAAGTCAATTATGAATTTGAAACTGAAAATGAAAGTGTGATAAAAACTTTACTTTATTTAGCAAATTACACAGTAAACTAACACAACACAGAAATAACAGTTTATATAATTAATTTTAATTTTTTTGTATATTTTGTTTAATTTTTTCGTTTAATTGATGTTCTTTTCTATAATTTTTTTGGTAGAATCAATTCTCTTATTAAAAAATTTTTCTTTCTCAATCTTTCGCAAGCGCTTGCAAAATGGTTTTTGGCTAAAAAACCGTTAGTTGCTATTTCTTTTATACCAAAATAAAGAAATAAAACTAAGAAACAATAAGAATGTATGCGGAATAGACATAGAATTGTTTCTAATGAATAAGAAAAAGTGGCAACATATTCGTCATGAACTCTGTTAAATGGCAAAGCAATATAACTGAATGCTGTTAAATGGCAAATCAAACAAAAACTCTGTTAAAATTGAAAAGCTATATAAACAGTATATAAAGCATATATATATAAATAAAAAATACTGTTGCTTTTCTTTCTTTTGTTAACTTTATTGAAAACAGTTTGTTTCCGATTCTTTTTCCTTGACTTGGTCGCTTTGTTTTCATGTGTTTAGTTTTTTGGAAAATAAGCAAACTAAACTTATTTAATTTTACAAGTTAGCCTAGAAGTAGACCGCCATTATTTTTTTTTTTTTTTATTATCAAATTAAACAAAAAAGTAGCAAAATTTTCTGCTACTTTAAAAAAAGAACTTTTGCTACTTTGCAAGGCCGTCGGTAAAAGTCCCCAATTAAGTGTAATTAAGAATACATAATGGGGAGAAGTCTGCAAATTCCTTTGTTGGAAAGTTTTTAATGTCTATCTATGTGGCAATATATTTCATTGTTCCCCTAGTAAAGAATAATCTTTTAAGAGTTGGTAACAATTTGTAAACTTTGATTAGTTTTTTTGCTTTAAATTCGGGAAGAGAAGCAAAAGAATTGTTTAATAAATTTGTAGAGTTTTTTATATATACTTATAATTTTTATTCAAAAAAAAAAAAAAGTCAAAATATTTGTTAAATAATAAAGCAGAAAATTTTGAAAAAGAACAACTGAAGAGAGTAAAACGCAAAAAATTCTAAAAGAAAATTCAATTGATGCGCGTGCTATAAAATTGTATGTAAAGAAAATAAATAGATAAATGAAAGATTTCGCAAAATTTGCTGCAAAACAACAACAATACCGCTAAAGAGTATTGTTTTAAAAGCAAATAATTATTTAAAGGGTCATGTATATAAATAAATAAAAGGATTCGCGTATAATTTATTTGTAGTGCTTCAAAGAAGTAAAGTGAATAAGTGATAAAAATTGGAATGTAAATATTAATAAACAACATAAACTCTTGTAGAGCAAACAAAAACAGAAAAAAAAAAAAAGCGAGATACAAAGAAGACTGTTTTCGTTCTATATATATATACAAATTGCAAAGCAATGACCGAGGCTGTCGACATCTCCGTTGAAGAACAGCGAGTAAATGTTTTAGAAATGGGGACAGAGAACCGGAAAACGTTACAAGAATTTTTTGATGGCGATTTGCAAATAATAAAATAATTTGTAGTTTGATCAGGAATTTATACTAGAGTCGCACATGAAAGCGGTACGAATCGATTCGGAAATTAGTTCTATATGACTTTCATTATGATGATGGGTACACGAGAGTCGGTTTAATGGAAACTTCGCGTTCTTGTGGTTTATTTTTGTTTTATTCTGAAGGACAAACACAAACATATGTACATGAGTTTTGTCACAGACAATCCTGTTTACATATCTCTCTCCCAAGAAGTGTTACTTCTTTTATTTACGTATTTTGATTGAAACTGTTATTTATTTATTTATTTTTTTAATTTGTTTTGAGGTTAATTTTTATCTTACATTATATTCTTTTAGAATAAAAAGTTAGTAAAAATTTTCAGTTAATAACTTTGCAATTTTTTTTTTATTTTTTAAATAAAAACAGAAAACAGAATAGAATTTAAACAAAGCACGTTTCGAAAATTTTCCAAAAATGAAATTTTCAAATTAAATATTAAAAAAATTAAAAACGAATTTATTTTATAAAAATTGACAATATATTCAATTAAACGAAAAATGGAAACAGCAAATTTCCTGGAACACGAATATTATGGCGGTAGTCGCACCTTTACCTGGCTAGCCGATCTTTCCGGTCTCTCCATTGATTTGGTAAGTCCATCATAAAACAAAAAAAAAAAAAAAAAGAAAACATTGTTATAATTAAACACTTTTAAAATTCCTTTGCCGGTGATGTCATATCATTTAAATATAAACTTTCATCGCAAATCGCAACTAGATTTTATTTTTTCATGTAATTGTATGTGACTTTTTAGATATCACAACATTGTCGCCCTCCTTCTCGTGCTTTGTATCATTCCTTTGTATATTGCAACGTTTATAGGTTTACATGAACAATTGACCCAGAAATCATGGTTTTTGCATTTTCGAGTGATTTATTTATTTACGTTTCTATTTATTTATTCTGATGTGCGCTACGTTAGTTGACGCTTGCGGGTATAACCACACCAACCTCACAAATCTCATTGCTGGTCTTTGAAAATGTTGAGGTTTTCTTTTTTTTTCATTTCCCCGCAAAGTTTTCGCATTCGATTACTGCATCGAAATATTTCCATCAAAAGAAAAAAAAAAAAAAAAAAAAAACTACATATTTATCTTTTGATGAAATTAAAAATTTATAAATCGCAATTCTTTCTAATGAATTGACTTTTTTCTTTTTTTACGGGCAAACTTGGAAACTAACAACTTGGAAACCTTTGTCACATTTGTGAGCTTAAAGCTGCAAAATTTGATAGGTTAGCAACACGTTGTTAGGCTTATTTCATATAGAGTTACTAACTGATGGCCGATAGTCTTCAATTATATTCCGTCAAGATTTTATATCTATTTTGATGCAGTTCAGTGTAGAAAGGGCACAATCTTTTAAAGCTGCTCATCATTTGGCATCAGAAAATGCTGGTCGATAATAAATCTGTAGAGGAATGGTTCATAATAAATTTTCTTGACTTTAAGATGATTTCAAACATTTTATCACATTTAGATCATTTTATCTCTCTATATATGTATATGTAGAGCGCTTAGAGGGTAACTGAAACGAAAGTAAGAAAAAGTGGCTTAAAATGACCCCAAAAATAATACTTGAGTAACTCTATATTGTTATAATTAACATTGGATAAGGATGTACTAACCTTATGGGATCTTACGCAATAGCTAGAAATCCTCATTATACAAATATTTTTTAATATGGAGCAAGTTTTATTTACACCCATCTGTCTGTTTATAGTTCAAGGAGTACAAACCGCAGCAAACAATCGATACAAGTCCATGGCAATTAAAATTTAGTTTGATCTTTCATCTGTTCGCGGCTTACCATTAAATACTCTACACCACTTCGTTTAATTACTAATGTGATCACTTTTCAAAGTAAGGCTTTCCACCGGAAGATGGTGCGATCCGAGCCGAATTTGTGCTTGGGCCAAACCACGTCGATGCACTCAGTTTTATCAAAATTTCTGGAAAATTGCGGCTTGTAAGTGGATCGCAAAAAAACAAGACAGACGGACAGACAGGCAAGCTTAGATCGAGCCAAAAGTCATTTTCGATATAATAAAAGATGAATTTATCTCAAGTCATTTTTGGTATAGCGTACATCCGTACAAACTTAACGTGCCCTTACATCACAAGCGTTGTAGGGTGTAAATCTGTCTGTTTTGAACAGTTTTAGGTTACCTTCTAATTAAATTAATTAAATTTTCCTGCAGCGCATTATGCGGCCACTAACAGCGTAAAGAGTTTCACAAAAATGTCTAATCAACTTTGACAAGGATATATAAAGGAGGCCATACATAACTTGCATAACACACTTGCAGAAATAAATTTAAGCTCAATTGATTTTCCTTAGAAAAAAATTCCTTTTTTTTATTTTTTTATTTATTTATTTATTTTTTTTTTTTGATACTAATATATAATTTATAAAACTTATACGTTTGTATTCCCATTTGTAAATTATGTAAATTATCTAATAGGCATACCATATAAAGAGATAATTATCCAACAAAAACAACGTAATATATTAATTATATTATACCCTTCCCCTTCTTGTGGTACAAGGTTATGTTAAGTTTGTGTCGATGTATGCAACATATATAAGAGCCTGAGATAGACTCATCTTTTATAATACTGATGATCAATTAAGAATCATTTCCCGAATTCATTTAAGCTTGTCTGTCCGTCTGTCTGCTTGGGTTCAAACTGAAGGTCATATTTTGAAAAGTTGTTATTTGGATAGCTAGGAGATGGTGTGCACTAGTTAATGGTGGACCATGCCCCAATGTCGTGTTTATATTCGTTTTGTATCAATTAATATCATTAGCTAATCTTTTCGTTTATTAGGTGGTATTCGGAAACCTAGAATATTCTCTTGGTTTTTTACAAACTCTATGAAATTTTGTTTTCGATATATTAAAACATTCAAATTATTTCCAAAAATTTTGTTATATTCAATGAATTGAATCTTTTTTATAGCATCACCTTTTGAAAAAATAATACCCAGCACTTTCGCCATGATATCCCATCATATCACTTGTGGGTGCAAGCTTGTGCGGGTAAATGCAATAGCCAGAAGGACTTGAGACAAATTGCACTTTCTATTATGCCGATTGCTTGCTTGTCTGTCCGTCGTGTATCGTTGCGTTCAAGCTAGTGGCAGCATTTTTGAGATAATTTGCTGACATTTAGTGCAATGGCTCGGTCCGGATCAAATTTTCGAGCACTTCTCACTTTACTTTGAAATGTCGTTGTGCGAAGCGGTATATGGTGTCAAATGGTGGACCCTGTAAGATCAAGGAAGAAAATACCACTTGCACTTAGTCATTAGGTAATAATGGAAACAATGATATTAACTTTGAAATTTTATCTCTTTTTTGTTTTTTGCTTGTTTGTTTCTCCAAGGTCTTTATCCCATTCCCGTAATTTTTTTTAATGTAAGTTGATCATAAAACAATTCTGAGAAAAAAAAGCGGTCAATATAAATATAGTATTTAACCGGCATGTCTGGCATGAGAAAATCACAATCTACCTATCTGCGTATGCGGTTGAATTCATTGATGTTGTTGTTGTGCAATACAATCTTGGGACAGACGTAACGTTGTAAAAAAAGCGAGAACTTTTTTTCTTTCATTCGTAACGTTTTTATCAAAAATCATTCAGATTTACTCAAGTAATAGCATACACTTGTGTTTTTTTTTTTTTTTTGGGTTCTACAGGGAAACTTCTGAACCTTTTCAATTTTTAGAATCTTTCAAGATCTCAAGACTTATCTAAGCTTCTATCAAAAGGTGTCAGAAAACTTTTGATTCGCTACTTAAGCTATAAACTATACAAAATATGGACCCGGACCGATATATTACAATAGGTTAAAATATTTTGAGGATATGACATGATAAGTGAAGCAAAAATAGAATTGCTTGTTAAAAGGGCTTTGACCCATTTCCAGTTTGCTTGAAAAAGTCGGAAAATAAATTTGATGAACTTTGTAAGACTTTTGCTTCGTATGAAAAAGAACGCGTATCAACACCAACGAGTTTTTTAATTACAAACCTTTATTTGATCCCTCCTTCTCCCTCTCGCTTATTCGAATTCTTTTTTAATTTTTTTCTCTTCATCTTAATAAGAAGTATATGCCCACCAAAGTGGGGCAGGGCGTAACGTTAAATACCCTACCGAATTTCGCTTAATGCAGTTATTCATATAACACGTTTTTAAAGTGAAATGTTATATGGAAAGTGTTCGAAGAGGTGATCCGATCCGAACCTTATTCAGTAGCGTTTATCCTCGGGTCGAAACTTGTTGGTGTACCAAAGTTCATCAAAATATCTTACAAATTAGAACCCGTTGAGGTTGAGCGCAGAAAAAAAGACGGGCGGACGGACGGACAATATAATAAAAGTCTTAACTCCTTCGAAGCTTCGCAAACATCCACACAAACTTGATATACCCTTCTACCACAAGTGATGTAAGCTGTAATGGCCTAATACTTGGTGGATGTGAGATGATCTTCCGCATTTAGATCTTATTAGGTACGAAAGTTTAGGTAATAAAATTGTGTTTATGAAATTATTTTCCAAATATTCGACAAGTTTCTACGACATTGATGTGGTTGTGTGACTTGGTTAAATTCAAAAGCGTTTGTCTTATTTGCATAGAAACTTAGATAGACCGCTTAACAGTTGGAAAAAAAAATATTCTCTCGCATAAGAAATATTGAACAGGAATGAGCAATGAATAAATTATAATAAATTGAATGGTTGTGTGTCAACTGATGATCTAATTTACGAACATTCGCGAATCGTTCGATTGCTAACTGTTTTATTCGCTATGCGTAGATCATATTAAATCATATTAATTGTATTTGTGTTTTATGAAAAATATCTATTTTGATATTCGATTTTCATAATTTCCTTACCTTAATTACCTTAATTCTTGAAATACTCTTTAGTGTTTCTTTTTTGAATTACTCACAAAATTGTGAAACAAAACATTTGTGTCCATAAAATAATAATCGATGTAAACAAAATGCGAAAGCTTAAATTATGAGTCAATGGCACGAATGTTTTACTTGCATTCTGTCTACTACCTGGTGAATGAAGACACTATGTTACAAAAGTCTCAATACACTCTGTAACGATATTAATGAGATAGACCTGCAAGCATAAGCTTCATATTTGAAAAGCAATTTTTCTTGAGCACATGTATCTAAAAGAAAGTGAGAAAATTTCAGCACTGTTTTCTGAAGCGAATAATTCAGAAAATTATATTCGGTTTTAATCAAACATTTATTATACACATCTTTCACTTTTGCCTTAAAGAAAAAGAAAAAGAAAAGAAAAAAAAAAAAAAAAAAAAAAAAAAA